CCCACCCTTGGGGCCGGCTGGGGTTTTGTAGCCCTTGTTTGGCATTGGGTAGGAAGTGGAATTCTGCTAGTTAGGGCGTCAAGGTGTTGTGCTGCATGCCTACCTATGCAGCGGCCAGTTCCTGTTTCCTCTGAAGACATACTTTAGCTGGTTTTTTTTTTTTTTTTTCCTTGCCTGGTGGGGGTCTCCCTGGTGTGGCTATCGTTCCATTTATATTATTTTGGTGGCCCTCTGCTAGGACTCCATACTTGTAAATGTCACAGGGGTTTCAGTGTTTTGCTCTCCCCCTTGTTAGCTTTGAGTATTAACCAGTTAGCAACACCTTGCCCAGGCTTCCCATAGCAGTCAGCCTACAGGCCCTGGAAAAATCTGTCGGGACTCGGTGGACCACGAGATGCATCTTCTAGGTTCCAGCCCACCTTCTGTGGGTTTGCAGGTTGCTGTGTGCCCTTGTTTCAAAGTCCCAGTCACCTCTTTTGCCTGTCATGCTGCCTGTTGGGTCAATGACACCTTTGATCCTGAGTCTTGCAGGTCGTGTTCTCTGTTCTCTATTACTATTCTGATAACATTTCTGTACAGGGTACAGGCAGCATCTGCAATGCATGCTAAGTTCAGGTTGCTGCAATGCGCGCTAGCTTGGTTTCCCACCCAGATGCTGCGCGGCTGCCCCACTTTGGTTATAGGAACCCAGACCTAGGGCGTTAGTCGCTTCGACTTTGGTTCAGTCAGTGCTCCCTGGTCCTCTTCTTGCTGTTCCTCTCCCCCCCGTCCTTCCCCCACCCCTGCTTCCGGCTCCCAAATGTCTGAGGGATTCTGGGTCAGTGCAGGGTTTTCGTTGGTATTGAGAATTTGGCAGCTTTGGGGCTGCCCCATTTAGGTTGGGGACAGAGGCATTCGAGCCAGTTCCTCCTACCGCAGCTTCTGGGTCCCACTAGCAGGCCCTTCTTTTCAGCCTTTCCTCTGGACTCTGCCTTTTCTTCAGGATAGTGAGTATGGGAAGACTACTCTGCTCCGGGACCCAATTGGGGGGGATCCCAGGGTTGGGGAGGAGTCAACCCGGAGGCCTTCGCCCTTTGTCCCTGCTTGGGTATTCATGCCCTACTTGCGGGGCTTGTTGTGACAGGGGGAGTGATTTTCTTATCCCCTTTCCCTGCATGAGTATGTTTTTTTTCTGGTGTTTTCTGGCCGTTTTCTGTTCCTCTGGGAATGTTTGAGTGTTGATTTTACACCAGGTTTTCCGTTTTGTCTGTTTTGGGTCTGGGCCCTAGGATTTGGGCTCAAGTGTCCCTGTCTGTTATGCTTCCTCCCACACCTTGTCCCTTGGTTTTCGGTCTGTTTTGATCGTTTCGCTTGGGGTTCCGTCTGGAGGCTGTGCTTTGCTTTTCTGTGGTGTGGAGGTTTCTTCCTCTTGGGGCCCCCCTTTGTGGGTTCAGGGGGCTTTGTTTCCTCGTATGTGACCCGGTTCTGCCCTGTGGGGTTCCGGAGTCTTCCTGGCTTGCAGACTGATCTTTTTGGATCTTGGCACGTGTTGTGGTCATGCTGGAACTTGCTGGATTCTCAGGGTTTGGCTAACCATGACTTTCATGTCTGGGGTGTGTCCTATGTCCTGGTGGACAATTGCTCCCTGAAACCTCTCTGAAGGGGCCAGGTTCTGGCTCTGGTCCCTGGTAGGTCTTAACTCCTTAGCTAATGTCCCGATTTAATATAACATACATTAGCCCACTAAGCTCCAGGGAGCCTCCGGGGTTCACCCAGAAAATGGCGTTTCATTACATTCAACGCTGGTTTTTTCTAATTTTTTTCCTGGATTTTTTTCCCCCCATTTTCTCTCTTTTCGTAGGTTGTCTTTTATTTTGGATCGGGTTATCTTGTACTTTCTGTCTTGGCTTTTACATGATTATCCTTTGACGGCACAGGGGCTTCTGCTCTTTCGGTCCTGGTAGTAGGTTTGTTCGCTTGCAGCCATCTCCTTTTCTGGCGAAGATCGAGACAGCTGCTTTCCGAAGGGGTCCTTGGGTCATTTATGCTTGGTTGGTCAGGCTGGGGGTGCATCATGTGTTGTGTCCGGTTGTAGCTCTCTGCCGTTATCTGCATGCCTCAGCTTCGGTGGCTGGGGATGCGCTTTGGGTTGATCCGGTTTCCCTCATTCCCTATTCCAGGGCTCGGGTCTCCCAGATCGTCCGCAGGGTTTTTAAGTCTGACCAGTCTGCGGTCTATCCTCTTGCCCATGATGTTAGGAAATTTTGTTGCTTTGGCGGCTGTGTTTGACAACATGTCTTGGGATGATATTCGGGTGCTTGGGACTTAGGAGGTTGAACAGGGTCCAGGCCACCTGTTCTTTGGTTAACGTTCCTGCTCCTGGCTGTTCCTGCATTGTTTTGGGTTACAAGCTGCAGCCAGTTGTCTCAACTTCGTGTTGAGTTTGTGGCGGCTGCCTCCTGGGTAAGTCAATCTTTTCTTTATCTTTGGTTATGTAGCTCCAGGGAGTCATAGGGGCTTTCCACAGAAAACAAGCATTGAATGTAATGAAACACCATTTTCTGGGTGAGCCCCAGAGGCTTCCTGGCAATCCTCCCTCCCTCTGGTTGGCATTTTTTCGTATTGTTTGATAGGGCTTAGGGGGAAGAGCTGCACGGACAAGCAGTGCAGCAGTGGAGCGTGACATTTGCTTCTTTCCTTGGGATTGGAGGGAGTTCTACCTCTGTGTTCGGTTTTTAGTTGTTAGTTTCTTACCATGTGGGGTTTGTTTTGTTATGCCTATCTTTCTGAGTGCCTAACCCCGGTCGATGGCAGATAAAGAAAACCCCCAACCGCAAGGGGGTTTTCCAGGGCCAATGCTCCCTGCACCCTCTCTGAGTGGGCCAGGTTCTGGTTCATGGTCAAACAGTCATGGTCTCTGGTAGGTCAAACTTCAAAGCTAATGCCCTGGTCTAATATATCACACATTAGCCCGATAAGCTCCAGGGCGCCATAGGGGCTCACACAGAAAATGGCTTTTCATTACATTCAATGCTGGTTTTTTTGCTTCATTTATTTTTTAAAGTGTGACGTACGATTATGTTACATTGTTGGGTAGATTAGATACACAGTGTTTAGTGAGTTTTATATTTATTTAGTAGTCCTGGATACAGCAGTGTCGTAGACATTGAGACAGAGCCTGGAGCAGAGCAGAGAGCCAAGTGTGGCCGGAGTTGAGGAGCTCTATGTGGGAAAGCGTTGTAGCTCGATGCAGTCCTAGTCTGTTGTCTGTTCTGTGTCAAAGCTGTAGCGTCTTGGAGGCGATTAGAACTGCCTATGCCGAGTGCTACATTCTTGACTGGCAATTGTACTGTTGTCTATTCTCATATCGCTTCCTTATATTTGGTGACTACCCCTCACCTTTCTCTACTAGGATAAGAGGATGTGAGAACTGTTACCTGTAATTAGGGATAGGATTATAGCTTGTGTAGTTAGTGCTAATTAGTTATGCCCTTAAGATAATGGATCAAGTACAAGGATTACTCGCTACAGGACTCCCCCTACCAGGGAATGAAAGAAAAGCAATACAATAAAAAATATGAGGCTACTGTTCCCTGGGTCGCTGTGGAACATGTAGTCCGGTACCAAAAGATGCAGGCAGTATGTGGACAAGCTCGGTGTAGCAGGAGAGAAGAATGTGCTTGATTGTTGCGTCCTTGGGTCGATGGTGGGGCATTTAGATCTGGGACAGATGGGCTTGGGCACCAGGACAAAAGGAGGTTATGTAGGCACATAGGTAGGACAACGAGGGAATCAGACTGCTAGAGCTGAATTGTCCTGGAGGTGACAAAGAATCGGAAATGCAAGCTGCAAGTCCTGTACTGCGCAAGGTTCTTGAGTCGGCAGAGTATCAGAATGCAGTTAACGTGTAGATGAATCTGATAACAGAGCAGCTGTTGTGGACGTCCCTGTAGGACAAGCAGTGCCCTGGCAGCGACGGAGAGTTGGCAGGACAGGCTGTAGATCCTACATGATGTAATCATTGATGAGGCTGTCAGATGAGTGAGTAACGATCGTGGAGCAGCAAGCCGTAGCAGATGAAAAATGCAGAGATGATCGCAATGAAAATCATAGCTGTGACGAGGGTGTTGGCAGAGTTCCATGACGGGTGGCTGGTGTCCACAGGATGCAGCAGCAGTAGAGGTCCAGTGAGTCCATGTTGTAGTCCATCGTGGCTGGGTATCGAAGACACTCTCTGGGGGTCACCAATGTGATGTACGATTATGTTACGTTTTTGGGTAGATTAGATATGTACACAGTGTTTAGCGAGTTTCATATTTATTTAGAAGTCCTGGATACAGCAGTGTCGTGGACGTTGAGACGGAGCTTGGAGCAGAGCAGAGCCGAGAGCCGAGTGTGGCCAGAGTCGAGGAGCTCTCTGTGGGAGTGTGTTGTAGCTCGATGCAGTCCTAGTCTGCTGTCTGTTCTGTGTCGAAGCTGTAGTGTCTTAGAGATGATTAGAACTGCCTATGCCGAGTGCTACATTCTTGACTGGCAATTGTACTGTTGTCTATTCTCATATCGCTTCCTTATATTTGGTGACTACCCCTCACCTTTCTCTACTAGCATAGGAGGATGTGAGAACAGTTACCTGTAATTAGGGATAGGATTATAGCTTGTGTAGTTAGTGCTAATTAGTTACGCCATTAAGATAATGAGATAATGGATCGAGTATAAGGATTACTCGCTACAAAAGAATTCCTTAATAGCCAATATACTACTACTATGTAAAAGCTAAGTACATATGAATTTGTGACTATTGAGGACTGTCACAATAGTCACTATCTAAACAGGAGGATGGGTTGAATAATCACCTGACCATCCAACCTGACTCCTACTAATTTCTTGTAAAGCCAAATTTTCATTTTAACATTAAATGACTTCTTAGTATTAAATAAAAATGCATTTTATCATTCCTCACTCTTTACCATTTATCATCCTGTAGTAGTGGTCAAAAAAGAAGGGAAACAAATATATTTTACCATTAGTAAGAGCCCTGGAGAAACCACATCTTCTGGATTAGCACTCAAAACATAATCTGGCTGAGATGATGAATGCCCTGCTCTCAAGGCGGACCAAGGTGGGCGGCACCATGTGAGTGTTCCATTACTGCGCTCCAGTCGGAGGTACACCAAACAACTGCGTCCACACTCAGGGTCCCAGTGAACAACTGTTGTGCCATGATGCAGGATCTAATTATGGTATAAACAATAACATTGAGTCCAAAACCTAGTCAAGATAAAACTAATTATAAAATACTTAAATCAGATGTCAGATTTGTCATCTGAAATCAGATTAATTAAATACTTAAATACTTAATAAAAACAGATGTACATCATATTTTTTATATTTTCAATGACCAATTATTAAATTTTAGTGTCATTTCTATGGTACTTAAAGGAATCAATAATACATCATTTAAAAACTGCTGCTAAAAAGTAAATTGTAACCCATTGTACATCATTAATAGGGTTTACTTTTTAAGTAAAGCCTCCTTGGTAAGCTCTCTTCAGCCTTGGCACAGACACCTCCAGGAAATTTCTAATGACAGGCTGTCGAGGGACTTTGCATCCTACATAAACAAATATCCATATAAACTGAACAAATCCACAAGGACCGTGATAAGGGTTTGAATCGATGTCCAGGATGATCCCAGACATGCCTTAGTCGATTGTGCCATGACATGGTTAAACTGCTGCTCTTAAATTTTAAGTAAACTTAAACTTATCACGGCCCTTGTGGATTTGTTCATTTGATGTATCATGCTATTGTGATTTGTGTGTGTGTACCCATATAAACTGTCTAGTTCCCAATTATGCTTAGTGAAGAGCACATTTCAATCCTCCACGAGAGAAATTGCCTGCTGTATCAAATACTAAAAACACCAATTCCCCTCCAAATAATTCTTTGTAACATTTAAATCCTCAATACTCATTCTAAACTACCAAAGCACCCAGTAGCCACCTTAGCTGAAATCAGGCAGCAGATCTTCTGACTAGAGTGCATGGAGGGGCAATGCATAAAACCAGCGTTGAATGTAATGAAACGTCATTTTCTGGGCGAGACCCGGAGGCTCCCTAGAGCTATCTGGGCTGATACAGAGTACTAGCTTTGGGCATTAGTCAATGTACATGGAGTTTAGGCCTACCAGAAGACTACGAGCCAGAACCTGGCCCCCTCAGAGGCGTGAGGAGGATTGGCCTATAGACACACCTTGTATATAATTTAGAAGTACTCTATGCCTGCCATCGACAGAGTCGGTCGATGGCAGACATAGATAGGTGTATCCCATAAAGATATGCATCCCAGAACATCCTCCCATTCTGGGTAAGAATTGCTACCAAAGCCGAACATGTGGATAGAACTCCCCATGGAGAAAATGAGCAAATGAGCATGACGTCATCTCATTACCAACGCGCCGCTGTGTGCACAAACCGCCCCCACCTTCTCTCCGGAAAGGGGAAAGGGGAAACCCCAAACCCTCCGCCGACTACCCAAGCCTGCCAGTTCTTAGACTGGAATGTCAAAACGCGCGAAAAGAAATCGCCGATCAGAGGGAGAGAGGATGCCGGGGATCCTCCGGGTCTCGCCCAGAAAATAGCGTTTCGTTACATTCAACGCAGGTTTTCTGGGGAAAGCCCCCTTTGGCTCCCCGGAGCTACTTACCCAAAGAGAAAACAAAAAGAACTTACCCGGGTGGCGGTCGTTCCTCACATCTCAATGTGAAGTTAAGACAATTGCCTGCAACTGCCGACCCAATGCAACACAGGGCCGACCAGGCCCAGCAACACTGACCCGGTAGCGACCAGCCAGGACCCTGTTCAACCTCTAAAAGCCCCGCGCCTGGATGTCAGCACAAGACATGTTATCAAAAACAGCAGCAAGGGCAGCAAACTTACGAATATCATGGGCGTGGGGACAAACCACAGGCTGGCTGGACCGAATAGCCCTGCAGACAACCTGGGGGACCCGAACCCGGGAACAGGGAAGAAGGGAAACTGGGAAAGGGAAACAAATAACGACAAAGCCGCAACCGAACAACACATTTCAAATTCAAAAATTCAAATGTTTATTTAGGTAAAGTACATACATACAAGGGGTGACACAGATTTTGATGAATTTATAGATAGAACTAGTACATACAATCCCTAAAGCCATTATTATGCAAAGCATTTCGGGCAGAAAAAACACTAAAGACTAAAACTTAATACTAATTGAGATTAAAGTATAAAATGTGTTAAGAAAATATAAAACTAAAAAAAGGGAGGAACATGGCAGGAAAACAGCAAAAATATAATTTGGTCGACAAACGGCATTGTTTAAAAATAACAGACATGGGTTGACATTATAGGGGTAAGGTAGGTTACAGGAAGTTAATTACGTAGTGCTTAGGTTTTATCTTAAACTGGTTAAGAGAGGTACAGTCTTTAACATGATTGGGAAGGTCATTCCACATTCTGGGTCCCTTGATATGTAGAGCATTTCTAGTTTGATTAAGTTGTACTCTTGGAATATCAAAAAGGTATTTGTTTCTGGTGTGGTGCTCATGGGTTCTGTTACAACCTTCAATGAAGCTTTTAAGGTCGGGATTGGTATTACAGTTCAGTGTTTTATATATATATATATAATACACATGAGAGGATGTGCAGTGACTTAATATCTAACATATTCAGAGATTTGACAAGGGTACCAAGTGATGTCTGGGGCCAGAGTTAGATATTGTCCTAATAGCAGCTTTGTGTTGAGTAATTAGAGGACGTAAATGATTTTGGGTAGTAGAACCCCAAGCACAAATACCATAGTTGATAAGATAAGGATAAGTAGAGATAAGGATAGATGAGGGAGTAATAGAGCGTCACCAGGGCAGGGCGAGGTACATAATATCTGATCTTAGAAAGAATGCCAACAGTTTTTGAAACTTTTTTTTAATATATTTAGAATGTGTCCCTGGAAATTCAGTTTGTGGTCAATGAGAACGCCAAGGAATTTGTTACAAATTTTGTTACAAATTTGAGTATTATTTATCCTGAGATTTATTTGATTTGAGGATTTATTGCCAAACAAAATATAGAAAGTTTTGTCAATGTTGAGGGTGAGTTTGTTGGCAGTTAGCCAAAGATGGACTTTATTTAGCTCAGTATTCACTGTGACATTAAGAGCAAGGGGGTCAGGACTGGAATAAATAAAGGTTCTGTCATCAGCAAATAGAATTTGTTAGCAATTGGTTTGCACATGATGCACCCCCGGCTTTACCAACCAAGACTCAACAACCCACAGGCCCCTCCGGAAAGCAGCAGTCTCATTCTTCAACAGAAAAGAAGGAGACAGCTGTAGCAAAACAAAACGATCACCTAACCCAAAAGAGCAGAAACCCCTGCTCCAGGAGAGCATGAAGCTCCCCGACCCGATCTCGAGAGGCCAATGCCAGCAGGAAAAGAGCCTTCGGTAAACAATCTGGAACCAAAGGGGCTACCACAAACTGAGGGGAAGAGAAAAAGGAGAGCACCCGATCCAAAGACCAGGATGGTTCAGGGAGCGCATGACCAGGCCGGAGGTGAAACAATGCCCAAGATAGCTTTCAGAACGGCGCCGAAGTAACATCAATGCTGAATGCCAGCTGCAGAGGCTCTGCCAACGCCACATGAAATGAGGCAACAGTGTTCAGCCTAAGATGATGGTCCTGAAACAACCACCAAAGAAGGGACAAGACAACCCAAACAGACATAGAAGTAACATGAGGAAGGGTCAGAAAGAACCTGAAGGACCGCCAAGAAACTTCACACTGTTGCCGAGACGAAGCCTTCAGGTGGGACACCATAAAAGAAGCCACCTGATCACCATACAAGTGGTGATAGACTAGAGTCAGAAAGACCAGATGCAAAGACTCGAGGAGAAGACAAATGAACAAATCCACAAGGGCCATGATGAGGGTTCGAACCCATGTCCGAGAGGATCCCAGACCTTCATTTGAAGGTCTTGGGATCAGCTCCTGTAGCCTTTCCTCGTAGCTCATACCTCTCAGTTCTGGGACGAGTCTAGTGGCATACTGCTGAATCTTCTCTAAATTTGTCTTGTGTTTAACTAGGTATGGACTCCAGGCTGGAGCTGCATATTCCAGGATTGGTCTGACTTAAGTGGTATACAGGGTCCTGAACAATTCCTTACACAAGTTTCTAAAGGCAGTTCTTATGTTGGCCAACCTACCATGTGCCGCTGATGGTATCTTTTTGATGTGGGCCTCCGGGGACAAGTTTGGTGTGATATCATCCCCCAGATCTTTCTATTTGACTCTTGCAGGATTTCACCTCCCAGATGGTACCTTGTGTTCAGTCTTCTGCTCCCTTTGCCCAATTTCATTACTTTACACTTTCCTGAGTTGAACTTTAGCAGCCATTTTCTAGACCATTCCTCCAGTTGGTCCAGGTCATCCTGGACGAGTGGCTTTACAAGAATGTAAACACATCATGCTATGTACTCTCATAAACCCAATGTATCTTCATTTATACAGGGTATATATATAAATATATAAAATAAACTACTGATTTCTGCCATGTTTTAACCCTTAAATGGTGCATGGTTATATACCATTTGACACCCACAGGCGCATAAAAAAAAAAAAACTTTTTTTTCTTCCTAACCTGTTAATTTGTGTTCACTGATCATGGGAAAAATAATAATAAAATCGTAAGTGGCATATATTGCCCGCTACAGGGTGGGGAAGTCTGGCAAAAAACAGGCGCTGACTCAGCGTGCGTCCCAGACGGTCTGTTGCTCGCCAGCTGTCAGGCCAGAGTTGCCACAAAAAGATAATTACCTAATTATTTCAATGTCTCTGATTTTTCGTAGTTTTCTTGCTGTAATATTATTCAATAGTGTGTAGTGTGATATATTTATATAATAAAATGAGTGAATCATCGCTGTACTCACAAATATGGTGTGCATATTGTTGATTCAATTATGTTCATCAAACAGTAAACAAATACTTTATCGGTTATTACACTATATACACAGGTTATATAAAAGTATCTGCATGTTTTGTTCACCATAACGAACCACTAAGTAGCTATTAGGAGTCAAAAAGTAACGAGGAGTGACCGCCTCACACCAGCCAGCCACTCACTCCCTCAACACCTCACCTCGCCCACATTCTCCTCCCACCACACTGTTTTTGCTTTTATTCACTATATACAGA